CTTGCGGAAATGAAAGTTTCAAGGAAAGAAGAGCTAAGGGTAAGGGACAAAATGGACTGATGCCAAAGATTGAAAGAAGGAATTCCGCCCTTGGGGCCAGTTTGACTGTACCTGACAATGAGGCTTGCAAGGAATCGAAAGAATGGCAAGCTGCCAATTCGCCTTAACACAATACCTTTAAGGGCTACCACGGGATAGGGGAATGGGAAGGCACAAGGAAGAACATCCCCTCTTTTTTTGCTGGTAAATACGGGATAGGATCGACTCTGGCAGCTGAACTTCTTTGTCTATAAAGTCCATCATACTCTCTTTTCGTGGAAGATGGGGTAGCAGGTCTTTTCTTGTTCTTAGGGGGCTGAGGGTTATCCTAAGAAGATGGAAGTGCTGGCAATCATAAGGGGATTGTTGCCTGTTCCCCGTTTAGGGGTGGGGAAGACCTTGGTCTAAGAATGAAAGTCAGAGCGAGTTTCTAGTAGAACTCCTGCTGTAAGACTCAGCTGGCGGAAGGGCTTGCCGCATACACAGAATTGGGATCTCTCTCGCATGCAACTATTTCTAGCGGGAATGGGCGGAACCGAGCTTATTCAAAGGGCTGATTATTTCTAAATAACCCTTTTTTTTCTTTTTCTCATATCATATAAGTAAGCGTTGGTTGGTAGGAACGGCGGGATGATGATGAGTATATAAACAAAAAAGACCAAAAAGAAGAAATGGCAAGAGACATTTTATTTCGATAGAGGAAATAACCATGTGGAAAACAGGGCAGGTATTCTCTACAATGACACCCGTAGACCAATTGAAAGGGATGTAGCGCAGCTTGGTAGCGCCCTTGTTTTGGGTACAAAATGTCACGGGTTCCAATCCCGTCATCCCTACCTATTACTTCTCCTCTGGGCAGTAACGAGGAATCCATTAAGATCAATTCAAATTGGACATACAAAATCTTTTTTTTAATGAGACTATATGCATACAAGATGTATTTGGGGTAAGTAAGAAAATCATCCTTTTTTCTTTACAGTCGTATCTACTGTGATAAGAAAACGCTCTTAGTTCAGTTCGGTAGAACGTGGGTCTCCAAAACCCGATGTCGTAGGTTCAAATCCTACAGAGCGTGATTCCGAATCAGCAGACCCCATTACCGGACAACTCTTTTTTAAAGAAATAGTCAAAAAAATTGTACCATTTTCTATTTTGGAAGAACAACGACCAACTAACACTTTGACTTTAACTTATGATTCAAAAACATTAATTGCACATAATATATCGAATGAGAAGAAAAGGAAAGAAGAAAGAACTGAAGCTGACAGATCGAGATTGGAGTGAAACAAGAAAAAGAAGCTTACCAGGGCCCGCGGTAAGGCATGAATCAATGCAAGTGGACAGGCGTAAGAGCAGCCATCCAATACATGCTTTAAAGAAAAGAAAGACAGAGGCATTATGAAGGCAACTACCTGGTAACACCTCTCTACCAAGGAGCCTAAGGCCTATGGTTGAGCATGAATAAATAGGAAGAGGAGCTACTTCAGGGCTCTCGGACTCATTCTACCAAATGAGCTAGACCATGTTAGAATCAATGAAAAGAGATAGGCCATGGCATTACAGCGGCGGACCAATCTCCAAAGGGTCGAGTTAGTAAACTACCTTTCACCATCAATCAGTAGAAAGACCTTAGGCAATCGATCTCTTCTTCTCATTTCTTTCTAGTAAAGTCTAGTCTTTAAGGACTTAGGCGAGAGCATATTTCTTCACGAGAAGGGCAGCCCTCCGCCCTACCTTTGATTAGAAGAAATAGGAAGAGCGATGGAAGAGATCTTCGAACTGATTGATATGCAAGTCAAGGTCCGGGTTCTATCAGCCGTACCAAGAGCTAAGCAAGCCAAGAGGAGGACCAGACCAAGCAAGCCCACTCGGGGCAGTAGCAGACTCAATAGGCGATCGCTTAGTTCTTTCTATTAGAGGCGAGAGCATCTTACTCTCTTTCTTTCTACTGATTGATCGAAAGGTAGGGCCTAGATGAATTGCGACTTAGGGCTTCCATTAGGAGATTGCATACCTTTGGGATTATGAAAGGCAAGTCTTCTATTCAAGGCAGGAGCTCTACTTAAGATCCCGGTCGACTAAGTAAATTCCCAAATGCACTGACTTCTTCTACCAAATGAGCTTCTTGCCCGTCACTTTGATTCAAAGTCGATAGCCGAAGTCGTTGCTTGACGCTGCCAGATCGATCCTTCCTTGAATGGAAACAGGTACCTGAGCACGGGACGGGCCTTTAACTGGTGACCGATCAGTCAATTCTTTCTATGTCTAGGAGCTTATCATGAAATGCAGTTTCCATGAAAGGTAAAAGCAAGGCCAAAGGGGAGAACTTGAAGAGAAGTTCGACCATGACATAAGAAGAGGGACAAGAAGTCCACCTGTAAGAGAAGACTTGGCTGCTAAGTCGAGGAAGACAGAACAGAGGAAAGGATATTGTGCGGCTCTATCTTTCTACTTCTATTCAAGGCAAGTGTTCAGGGACTTAGGGCTCAGATAAGAGACCCAGGGATCAAAGACGAGATCTATCCTAAAGAGAAAGAAGAAGAAAAGAGGACTCTCGAAGCCAAGTAGTAAGATCCCGGCCGAACTAGTAGAAGAAAGAAGGACTTGCCTCAACATGAAAGACTTAGGCGCCTTCGGAAAGATTTTTCTTACAATAAATCGGAAAAAGATTCAGTAAGGTTAGGATATCTATGAACTACAAAAAAACTACCTCATTACGGGGTGAAGATTGAATCAAAGAAA